GGCTGGCTGGCATATCACACAGGCTTTGGGATACCAGAAGACAATCTTTGGCCACACTGATGAATAATACTTATGCTTGGACTACACAATAAAGCCCCTTTTCTCCCAACTTTAGCAATACTGCCTTAGACCCAGCTCTTAAGAAAGATCTTCTTATAGTCTCAAACATATTCTCAAGCAAACCATGCCTAGGGACTTGAATCAATAGCCCTGAAGACTTGTCCTGTTGTAAGAATAAAAACAGGACTAAAAATGCAGAGTACCATACTGCTATTAATGAGCACCTGTTAAATTTTTACAAGATTAAAAAGTCAGCTGGAACCTGGTGGGGGGGAACAACCAAACAAAGATATTTATGCTCAGTAAAGAGTTTTCAAACAAGTGCAGATCAAGAAGACAAAGGTTTCCCTTGTTTCAGGCAGTATGTTTAGAAGAATGTTTTTGAAAAAATAAATATCATTTCAAGTTGCTCATTTCCATGGCAGAGAACCTGCACTAAACTGGCATGAACTAAAACAAACTGAAGTTCTTTACCAACTCCATATAAGCACCACTGTGGAGGGTCAAAAAACCCAAACATATCACCAAGCACAGGTCATCAACGTCATCAATCTGTCATGATCATGCAATTAAGAGTATTAAAAGAGACTTTGAAAACTTGTTCTCTCTCATACAGGCTTCCAGAAAGCAATACTGTCATTTAATCCCAAGATATTCTTTGAGATCCAGATGTTCTGTTCTCTCCCCCTCACACTGCTAATTCCTGACAATTCTGACTTGTATTTTCAAATATCTCTCTGTTTCAGGTGAAGTTCCCTCAAGCAGCTCACCCTGTCCACTTAGTGGGCATCAGGGTGACCAATTTCACCTGATAAGATTTAGGAAAAACTCTGATAAAAAGCTCCACTACAGCAGCCCTAATCTTCAGCAGAGGTAGAGCAGCAAGCAAGTCAGAGAAAACAATCTCTGCTAGTGCATTTGTGCGCAAAGAAAGAAGAAAGAAATAAAAGGTGAAAAGAAAAACCCCAGCAACAATAAAGACTTACCTATTTTTCTGGGAAACCTATATACTAAGAACATGTTTAATACAGTTTACTGCATGTCACATGTACATCAAAGACACTATACACCCAAGGGAATGCGAACTGTGTTAGGATAACGCTGCACCCAACTTCGAGGGGAAAAAAAAAAAGAATTGCGCATTTAAACATTAAACTTTTGGGCTATGACATCAACGAGCTCCACGCCACACACACGAGGCAGGCTGACTGCTGAAACCTAGATACTCTTATGAGTCACGTTCTGCGTTCAGAACGCTGGCGATAACCTTGAAGGGAGATATCCTGCTCCAACAAGGCCAAAATAAAGCAAAATGAGGAGAGCACCTCCCTTTGTTACCGCCACGGAACAGACCGATCCCTGCGGCTGTGCTCCGAAGCCGGCCACGAAGCAGAGGCAGCCGAAGGGCTGCGGCCCCGCAGGCCTGCGCACACATGAGGCGGCCGGTTCCTCCGCGCCCCGAG